TATGCAGCTTGGGGTAGCGGTTTGTTCCTGGCTCGAGCAGAGGGAATGGCTGATGGCTTAGCGCAGCTTCGGGGCAGACGGTGCAGTTGCGCGGATGTGTCGTGCCTCTTACTTCGATGCCGTCTGGACGCAGGAGCGCTCCAGGAGTGAAGACGCCTGCGTCAATGCAGTTTTTCAGTGTCGCGCGGGAAGGGTGGCCGAGGCGCTGGCGCCAGAGCGCATCGTCGGCGCGAAAACCGGAAGTGCCCATGTAGCGCGCGCGAGCTTCTTTGGGGTCTTCGTTAGACATGGGGGCAGGTTCTGTTGCTGCCTCTTCTGCTGCTTCTTCGTCGTTGGCGGTGGTCATCATTAGCGCCAGAAATTCTCTGTCGCGAATTTCAGAGAGGGGGATGTTAGTCCCAGGGATGGTTCCAGGGACAAAGGTGGGTTCGCGCGGTTCGGGAGCGAGTCCGTAGACGGTGCGGCGCGGAGTTGACGGCTCGTTGCCCCAATTGATGGTATCCTAGGGGTTGCGATGCGGCGGAATGTCAGGCGGAGGCAGCGCGGGTGGAGCATGGCGCGGGGGACGACCAAGGGGAACAACTGCAGCCTCCCCCCTTTGTTCTTCGCGGGAAGTCCCCCAGCCTTCGGCAGAGGTTCTCCGCCCGCTAGTTTCGCCGCCAGATGCGGCGCCCCATCCGCCGGTGTCGGCCGTTCCCCATCCGCCGACGCTCCCCCAACCCCCTTCATTGGAGGCGTTGTTTTCCGCTTCGGCTCCCCAGGCGCCGCATGCGAATGTTTTGCGGGCTTCGGCGAGGCTTTGTTGGCGAAGCTCCTCTGCTTCGCGGCGCGCCAAGTCTTCCTCTTGTTCCACGGTGAGTTTTGCCGTGGGGTCGCGCCAGTGGGGGTAAATCTTCAGGAATTCCTCGCGGGTGTAAGGCCGCGCGACTCCGCGTGTGTCGATAGTTCCAACGCCAGTGCCGCATAGCATCCCTTGGAGATGTTGGGATGGGGGTCCGATGAGAGGGTGGTCTGGTGCGCCGAACACGCCGCGCGTGGCAACTTCAAGCTCTAGTTGTGACATTCCTTCTTCTGGCGGCGCGTGGCGTTCTGCTTCGGCGATGGCGGCGAGTCCGCGGCCGGCAATTGCGCTGGTTGACGCCGTTGGCGTGTGGCAGTCCCTGCAGATGCCGTCTGGGTCAGGGTTATGTAGCGCCATGTCGTGTGGGTGGGGATGATGTGGCACCCACGGCCTGCCGTCAGGGTGCTTCCAATCCCTGCGGTGGATGTGCTCGAAGCGCAGTGGCACGAGGTCGATTAACTCGTGCGAGTCGCCGCTGCAGTCGGGGATGTCGAAGTCCAGGACATACACTCCATTTTCGGAGTGTGCTCGTCCGATCTGCCTGCGGGGGAAGTCCCTCGATTCGTAGTGCAGCAAAATGTCGCGCGTCGCGCGATCTGTGCTGAGTTCGACGCCGCAGTCCATGAGCTGTGCGGCGGAAAGCAGGTTGAAGCGCAGGTTCTGGACGATCAGCACATCGTTGAGCGTGATGTGCGTGCGGCTTCCGCGTGCTTTGAGCACGACGATGCCTTGCGCACTTGCGCGCAGGCGTGTGTTGTTAGCCACGGTGACGTAGGTGACTGTGGGGGTGGCGACGGCGTTGGATATGTAACGCTCGGAGCCCACCATGTGCTGGCCGCAGCAGCTGTCCAGGTACCAGGTGTTGTAGCGCTTGTTGTCGTCACGGGCGAGCAGCGCCAGTCGCGGCGTGACGATGTGCGGAGTGTCAAACTTCAGAAGAAAATTTTCGCGCGAGAGCCAATCAAGTGGCGCCACCCGCATATCAGGTACGTGCGGGGGACTTTCAAGCAGCGGGACTGGAAGATTCCAGTCTTGGTCGTCGTCGTCGGTGAAGTCGTGGCGCGGGCTGAACGGGTTATTGTTGGTAAATGCGCTGATGGGTTGCGGTGCTTGCTCAGGTGATGATGAGCGCACGCGGCGACGACACGACTCGCCCGTCATGGCCATGTTGCTCATGACGTTGCGAACTGGGGCAGTTGGTGATGGCTGCTGCTGCTGATGCTGAACCGTTGGGTTCAGGTTGCGCGCGGGTGAGGGTTGATACCCCTGGGCTGGACGCACGTCGCCTCGTGCGTCTTGTCGGCCGGACCAGTTGCTCGGATTGGTCGGGCGAGGGCGAGATCGGAATTTACATCGATCTGCCAGGTGCCCAAAATTTCTGCAGGTCTTGCAGTAGAGGCGCCGCGGCCGTCGCTCTTCGGTGTTGTCGGCGTAGAAGGCGAGCCGTTCACGTTCTCGTCGTGGCGCTGGTCGCTGCTGATCCATATCCCGTTGTTCGACGAGAAGGGCGGCGCAAAGGGCGGCCTCCGAGATGACCCCCTGCTGTCGGAGAAGCGCCTTGCAGGGCCGCCACTCTGGGCCGAGCCCTTGAAGCACGATGTTCACGAAGATTTCCTCCGAAATCGAGCTTCCCAACTTCGCGATTTGGTCGCGAAGGCTCCGACAGCGATTGATGTAGCTGTTGACCTTCTCCCCTGAGGTCATTTTGGTCTCCAGTAACTGCTGGAGTAGCCGGCTCGAAGAGACTGAGTCCTTCGGCTGATACACACCGTTCAGGTGGCGCCAAGCGTCGAGGGCCAGAGCAGCCGATGTCTTGTACGAACGGATGTTTAACTGCTCCGCCGACGACATGTTGCGTAAGAGGACTCCGTACGCCATCAATGACTCGTTGTAATAGCGAGTTCTGGCGTCGTCGGTGTCCTCAGCGGGTTCCGCGTAGCTCCCGTCGAAATAATGGAAGATTTGGGCGTTCTGCAGCAGGAGCTCCAGTTCGAAGCTCCAGGTATAGAAGTCTCTGCCGTCAAAGCAGGTACTTGTCTTTATTTTTGATATGCTGAGAAACTTTGATTGCGCGGAGAGAATTGCCTCTTCACTGGGACGGGGAGCCTTGGGGGTTGAACCATTTGTGTCGAGGGAGAAGGTGTGCGGGGCGGCGTTCTGGCCAGTTGGGGCCGGTTGAGAGGGTTGCGATGATGTTCCCGCATCGCCGTTCCACAATGTTTGGAGCCCTTGCTTCAAGCTGGTGAGTCGCTGAAGGAGTTGTGCGAGGACTTCGGTACCGATCGTTGTCGTTCCCTCGCTTGTCGCAGCCGGGCTGGTTTGCGCTTCAGCCGTCAGATTAGTCTGACCACCAGATCCTCCGGCCATTTTCACACGCGAGCGTGTGCCGGACGCCACTTTCCGAATGTCGTAATTTTCGGGAATGGCGGTGCGAAGGATTCTCGAGCCGCTCTCATACAATGCTACGATCTGAAGAGGATCGCTCCCAGGATCTACTCGGGAAGGTTCGCACGCAGTTAGATAGTGTTGGTGGGCCCTTGATCTCAATAGCAGAGTGAATGTAAAATGCTTGAGATTGATTTAGAACATGCAAATACAGCGATATAAATAAGAGTACAGGGAATTCGAATCGACCTAGCTAGCCATGTACTCTAAGGGGTACATTCCCTTATTCGAATTCATTCTTAACTGTGCGGCGCGTACAGTTACGGAAATTGTTCCCGCCAATTCCTCTTGCCTGCAGCTGCCCGATGCCGTCTGCTCCGACGGTCCGGATCCGGCCCAACTGTTCTGACGCTTGGAGTCAGTTCTGGCTCCTCGTATTCGTTCTCGATACTGCATGCTTCCTTAGCTGCGGTTAGGAGTGCACAGTAATGTCTCAAACATTACCATTCGTAACAACCATGATGAATGGATAGTCTGAGATTCAATGACACAGATACAAACATCTTCCAATGAAATACGGGCCTACTCACGAAAGACACAAATGAACATTTAGTACAGGTACAAATATTATTTACGAGCCAATTTATTCATTAGGTAACAACCATAATTTGGTGAACTGCCAATATTCCAGTACAGACTCCCATGCAGATGAACTACTGTAAACCCCCGGATATAAGACCCCCCCCCCCAGTTGTAGACCCCCGGGTCTATTATACGGGGGGGGGTTATGCTATTATAGTCTATCCGAGTTATACCCCCCTAAATGGCATCTGACACTATAAGACCCCCCCCCTCCCACTGGAGACCTACCATCTGCCCCCGGATATACACATTTTTATAGGGGGTGCGCTTAAAATCGAGGATTTTGATAACTGGCGGCCCATATATAATAACATCCGTATATGAAATCTATTTTTTCTTCACCAATCAATCCATCTCGCTTTTGCAATTTGAATCGAGTCGAAACTATACAGGGATGTGGTGGAGTATATCGAGCAAGTTGGCAGGGAATGATTCCCTGCCAACACAAACAGTAAATGTCAAATGTGGTAGCCTATAGTGAGGTTTGTCTTAGGGAGTACAAAAGTTAGGGTTAGCTACTTGTACCCCAACCAACATGAATGCATCATCAATTCCTCAGTTTGACATGGTATCACCTAGGTTCGGATCCTGTGGGATCCCGCTCCTCCCGTCCACCCCCTACTACGTCAGGTACCCCAGTCGAGGTCTCCCGGTCCCTCCCCCCCCTCTCTTCCTGACCGCCGCTCCCCCGCCTGCTCCCCCGGTACAGCCTCCCCCCCCTGGTCCAGCCCCGTCCGGTGTGTCCCAGGCTACCCCTCCCCCTTCGGTAGCCCCTCCGGTACAGCCTCCCTCCCCACAGTCTTCCTTGCCGCGTCCTGCAGGTGCTCGCTCTAGAGAGGTTGGTACTGAGACTGTCCCTGTACCGGTTTCTGGTTCTGGGGGTGCTGGAGTTGGAGCTGAGCCGCGGGTTGCAGAGGACGCTTGTCTTCCGGGAGCTGGTGCTGGTCGTGCGGAGTCTGGGGGTGCTGCGTCTGGGGCTATGTTGCACTATACGCTTTGGAAATTTAACGTTTCACGTATATGCGTTCACGTATAAACGGGAAAACGTGAAACGGGAAAAATACGCGATACGTAAATCCGGGCAGGGCAAAAAGAAAAAAACAAAAAAAAAGTTTGCGCTTTTTCCGTACGCATGTATACCGACATTTCGGGTCGCGTTTTTCCAACCAGCGGACGTGCAAACCCGAATCGCCACGTTCACCCCACGAACATCAACATTGCGCCCAATCACCCCCAACAACTCGTGACCAACCAGAGCACGTCCCCCACCCCCCAACCAATTCGTGGTAAGTATAATTGACCCCACCTCAACACATGCCTCATCCAGTTGACATTCCTGTTCATTGTTGAGCTATGTCTACTCCAGTCCCTTCTAACCACACTCAGCCTTCTGGTCCGTCTACTCAGCCTAGTGATCCTTCTGCCTCGACCTCGGAGGCGCAATGGCTGGAGGAGGATAGTACGCATGTTGTTTTCAAGCATTTCAAGGTTCCCATCCGTCCCGACACAGTCGGGACTGTCCGCGTTTGCAAGTATTGCTCCAAGGAGTTCAAGGGTGGTGCGTTTCGATGCGCTCAGCATCTCGCGAAATGGAAGGGACAGCGCTCTCGCGACGTCCGCTTGTGCGCTAAGGTTCCGCCCGACGTGCGAGCGGCGGTGGCCGCGCATTACGAGAAGAAGGCGTCCAACCGCGACGAAAAACGGCGGGCCGAGGATGCTGCGCTCAATGCTGTCGTGGGAGGTGCGAAGAGAGGACGCATCACCGACTTCATTGGCGACGAGGCGCAGTGCAAGAAGGGCGAGGCGGACTACGCCGTCAGTTTGTTCTTCGCCGGCTGTCGCATTCCCGAACACCACGCCGACAATCCATTGTGGCGCAACATGGTCAGGGCCATTAACAACGCACCCCACGGTTACCTTGCGCCGCGACGGAACTACGTGGGAGGAGCTGGGCTGAAGCAATGCCGCACGAGCATCGAGAAGGGGCTTCAGCCAATCGCCGCGAGCTGGAAGAGGGATGGCGTCACCGTCTCCTCCGACTTGATGACCGATCGGTGTGGGAGGCCGCAGGCGAACGTCATGCTGGTCAACGATTCGGGAGCGGTGTTCGTGGAGGCTATCGACTGCAACATGGAGTCCAAAACCGGCGGCTACATCGCGTCGCTCCTCCGCCCCATCATCGAGAAAGTGGGGCCCGAAAACGTGGTCGCTCTTTGCATGGACGGCGGCTCCAACTACGGTGCCGCCTGCAAGGAGCTGATGGCGGATTGGCCCCACATCGAGTACGTGCCGTGCGCTACGCACGTGCTCGACCTCCTGATGGAGGACGTGGGCAACCTCACGTGGTGCAAGGACATTGTGGATCTGTGCGGGGACATGATCACCTACGTCCGCAACCACCATTTCACCCGCAACTACCTGAGGAGTAAGAAGGTGAAGGGAGGAAAGGGGAAGCAGCTTGTGAAGCCGGCGGGGACCAGGTTCGGCACCAACTACATCGCCCTCTCCAGGCTCGTCGAGCTGCGGTCCACGCTGTCGCAGATGGTGCTGAGCGAGGAGTTCGCCAACTGGTCGGCGGGGGCTAGGAAGCAGACGGCGGATACGTTCCGCGGCCAAGTCATGGACGATGCCTGGTGGAAGAACGCTTCGTACCTGGCGGAGCTGTTGGCGATTCCATTCAAGGTGAAGCGGGCCACGGACAGCTGCGCCAAAGGGATGATGGGGACTATCTACGACCTAATGCTCCAGCTGACCGAGGACGTGAACGACAAGCTGGAAGCGGGAGAGCAGATTCTGCCGCGGGCGGTTGCGACTGACATCGGGAAGATTGTTAGGCGCCGTTGGGACGAGAGCCTTGCATGCGCTCTTCACGTCGTGGGGCGGATCCTCAACCCGGGAAATCAGGAAGAGGGTATTTTCCGCAACGACATGGAATGTACCCGCATCTTCAAGGCCTTCATCGCACGTCACTACGACGGTAAGACGTTCACCAACAAGGATGGTGAGGAGAGGCGTGCCTCTCTTGTTTTGCAGGAGGGGCTCACGGCCTTCCTCACCCTTGAAGGTTCCTTTGGCCTTCCTGAGGCAATTGCCGACAGAGAGGCCGTGAAGGCAGGCAAGCAGTCGATGGTGGCGTGGTGGGGATGGCACGGGACTGACCACCCCCACCTGGCCAGCCTTGCGTGCCGTGCCCTGACACAGCCGGTGTCGGCGTCGCCGTGTGAGCGCGGGTGGGCATCGTTCGAATCGGTGCACACTGCCCGCCGCAACAGGCTAGGCTCGGAGAAGCTCCGAGACCTAGTTTTTGTGACCCACAACTGGCGTGTGGTCCACAAGTACCACAAGATGGGTGAGTCACTGGCGGTGCTTCCGGGCAACATACCTGAACCCGCTCTGCCGGAGGGATACAACGAGGAGGAGGAAGGGGAGGAGGAGGAGGAGGGGGAGGGGGATGAAGCCGTGCTGGCCGATGAGTACGTGAAGTAAGAAAGGCAGCAGCAGCAGTGTAAGTGGTTGAGGAGCTGAGAAGCAAGAGAAGTAGAGGAGGAGAAGCAGATAAAGGTTTGGGGAGTAGGGGAGTAGGTTGGTAGGGGAGTAGGGTACTAGGGGAAGTAGTTGCTAGTATGTGTGTACTTGCAATGCATTTTTGTTATGGGGAAAAAAATTTCATACGTGGGGAAAAAACCAACTGCACAAGGTCACAATGAACATAGGCAACGTGACTCACCCCCCCATACTTTTTTTCCCTGCCCGGAACTTTTTTCCCCTGCCCGGGCGACCGTATTTCGAGCGTATCGTGGGGCTGAAATCGCCCGTATCACGTACGTACGTGAGCGTACAGTACGTACGCGACTGGTACGTGAAACGCGTATTTTGCAACATAGGTCTGGGGGTGAGGGTGACCCCCCTTCGGTTTCTGGTGAGCCTGGGTCTGGAGCTGGTGTTGGTGCTGCCTCTGGGGGTGGTGTGCCTGGTGCTTCGGAGGTGGACTCTGGGGCTGCCGCTGCCCCGGACACTACTCCTTCCCCCCACCCCTACCCGACCAGGTTCCAGGCTCGTGTTCGCCGTGCTCGTGAGGAGCAGCTGGAGTTGGAGAGAGAGGAGCGAGAGTTGCAGCGGCTCGAGGAGCAGGAGCGACAGCAGCAGGAGCAGCAGCAGGAGCAGCAGCAGGAGCAGCAGCCGCTGGAGCAGCAGCAGCCGCAGCAGCCGCAGCAGCCCCAGCAGCAGCAGCAGCAGCCGTCTCCTCCTCCTGTCTCGGGTCTTCGGACCCTTGGTCTCCCCTCTCCCTCTCCTTCCTCCTCCCCCTCTCCTCCCGTCTCTGGTCCTCCGCTTCCTCCTCCTGACCCCTCTCCCGCTGTTTTCCCTCGTTCTCAGTCTTCGTTGTCCCCTCCTCCTTCTCAGACTTGGGCCTCTCGTCGCTCCCCTCGTGCTCGTCCCTCGTCTCCTGTTCCCTTCACTGACCTTCGTACTGCCTTACTTTGTTCTCGTCCACCTCGACCGTCTCCGTCTGTGCTTCCGTCTCCTCCTGAGTCTGCCCTCACTGCGTCGCTTCCTACTCCTGTCACTGACTACTACCGCACGTACCGTCCTGTTCTCTCTCGTGTTCTCGCCTCTCTTGTTACTCACCCTCGTGCCTCTCTGTCCTCTGTGTCCGCTCTTACTGCCGCAGTCACTGACTTTGCCTCTACCCGCCGCCTTGACTTCGCCACCGGTCTTGTGGCTGCTCCTCCTTCCAGTCCTCTGGCCGTCGGGGGTGTGTCTGCCCTTGGCTGTGACGCCCTAGAGGACAGGCAGTTTGAGCTAGAGTTCCTGGCAGCCGCTTCCCCTCATCTCTGTGCCATGCTCCTCGCCCCTGAGGGTGACCCCGACGCCCTTGACATTCCGACTCCTCGCACTTACGCTGAGGCAGTGTTAGGGCCTTGGGCCTCTCAGTGGAGAGCTGCCATGGACGCAGAGATGGCCTCCTACAGATCCACAGGCACCTACGTCGATGAGGTTCCCCCCCCCTGGGGCGAACGTAGTCGACGGCATGTGGATCTACAGGGTGAAGCGGCCACCGGGATCTCCCCCGGTCTTCAAGGCGTGCTACGTGGCTAGAGGTTTCAGTCAGCGCGAGGGAGTTGACTTCTTTCAGACCTTCGCCCCCACCCCGAAGATGACTACTCTTCGGGTGTTACTGCACGTAGCAGCACAGAGAGACTACGAGTTACACTCTCTCGACTTCTCCACTGCTTTCCTTCAGAACAGCCTACACGAGGAGGTCTGCCTGCGTCGTCCCTCTGCCTTCACTGGCACCTTCCCTCCTGGGACCCAGTGGAGGCTGAGGCGACCTGTCTACGGTCTTCGCCAGGCCCCTCGTGAGTGGCACGACACTCTGCGTTCTACCCTCTCTGACCTTGGGTTCCAGCCTTCTTCTGCTGACCCGTCGCTGTTCGTTCGTCGTGGCTCCACACCTTTCTTTGTTCTGGTCTACGTTGACGACCTCGTTTTCGCCACTGCTGACAGGGTTGCTTTGGCACACGTGAAGTCCGAACTGCAGAAGAGACACACGTGCACTGACCTTGGTGAGCTGCGCCACTACCTTGGCCTGCAGATCACCAGGGACAGAGCTGCTCGCACCATTACACTTTCACAGTCACACATGGTGCAGCAGGTCCTTCAGCGGTTCGGGCTTTAGCACTCCACAGTACAGCGCACACCTCTTGTTGTTGACCACAGACTCACTGGACCCTTTCCTGACGAGCCGTTTGAGCCTAGTGGTCCCTACGCAGAGCTTGTGGGTTGCCTCATGCACATGATGTCTTGTACTCGCCCGGACCTCGCCTTCCCTCTCAGTGTCCTGGCGCGCTTTGTTGCGCCAGGGAGACACCGCCCTGTTCACTGGACAGCAGCTGTGAGGGTGGCGAAGTACCTAGCGACGACATCAGGCGTGGGGCTAGTTCTTGGAGGACAGCAGTCTGTCGTACTTACTGGTCACTGTGACTCTTCTTACGCTGACGACACTGAGACTCACAAATCTACTCAGGGGTACTGTTTCAGCCTGGGTTCTGGAGCTGTTTCTTGGCGGTCCACGCGCTCCTCTTCGGTCTCGACCTCTACAGCTGAGGCTGAGATCTACGCTGGTGCCATGGCGGCACAGGAGCTGCGTTGGTTGACCTTCTTGCTCGCCGACCTTGGTGAGCGGCCGAGCTCTGCACCGACCTTGTTCACTGACAACAAGGCGTCGATTCTCCTTTGTCGAGAGCCGCGACTGGAGAGCAGAGTGAAGCACATTCACGTCAGGTACTTCCTTCTGCGAGAGTTGCAGAGACGTGGACAGGCTCGCTTCGAGTTTGTGGAGTCCGAGGCCAACACTGCAGACATCTTCACCAAGGCGCTTGCGCCTTGTGACCACCAGAGGTGCTGTGTGCAGTTAGGCCTTGTTGACACTGGTTCTCGTCTTGCTTAGACTTGAGTGCACTGTTTACTTTGCTTGTACGCTTTCTATATATCTTTGTTATATCTTGGACTGGCCTTGTGGCCACTGGTGCTTGTGCTCAGAGAGTGTGGTGACGTTGTGATCCACCCTGGGCTTTGTTTCTTGGACTGGTCTTGTGACCGTACTCTTTTGATTCTGCTAGACACCCCTCACCTAGGCTATGGGGGTGTGTCAAATGTGGTAGCCTATAGTGAGGTTTGTCTTAGGGAGTACAAAAGTTAGGGTTAGCTACTTGTACCCCAACCAACATGAATGCATCATCAATTCCTCAGTTTGACAGTAAAGAATGAGCCAATTGCCGCGCGTGACAACTCATTCTGACTGGACACGCTGGCAGTGCATTGAAATTCAAGGCTTCCAGCTAGATTTCGTGATGACGTGCGCTTGATCCTCGTCGAGACGATTTCACATATTTTTTCGAGGCGCTAAAAATGGAGCACTTCCCATTCACTTCTCTGAGTTCAAAAACATGTATCTTAAAAAAAAGCATTTTGTAAAGACCCGGGTCTTATAAAATATATGCCATTTATTTAGACCCCCCCATTTTTTTTGGTGTGCATAGCATAATACCCCTGGGTCTTATATCCGGGGGTTTACGGTACCCTATGGATTAGTCATGCTGTGAATTTCCGACAAGCTAAGCTTCACGCCGGACAATTGCACAACCATAATTACTAAAAGGGAGTTTTTGGGCAACAGCAGAGAGGGCGAGGTGCAAGGAGCGCAGTAGAGGGCGGTCTTGGGTGGCAGATGCAATGGCAGGAGTGGAGGCTTGGAGAGCTGTGAATGTAGTGTGTGTGGCCCTGGTTGGGTGGTGGGATGGGGGGATGGGGAAATAAAAACCTACGGTTCTGATGATGCGAGGTGTGCTGAGGTGGCGAGATAAGGAGAACGTGATATGGTGAGAAGGTAATGTGATTCGAAAGTGGCGAGATGTTGAGAAGGTGATATGGCAAGAAGGTAAGCGGGTGACATGACGAAAAGGTGATGTGGCAAGAAGGTAATGTAGTGAGATGGTGAAAGCAGGGAGGAAGAGAGACAAGATGGAGAGCAATGGGGAGGAGCTGGTAGGGAAGTCTATGATCGAAGGGATTGTGAGAAAGATGGGCAGCATCTCATGATATGATTATGCCATCGTCCCTCACCATACACCACAACTGTCCCCCAATCTCACCCTCTCCCTCTCACTGCCCTCATCACCACGTGACTCCATCCCAATCCCCCCCACTTCCTCTGTTTTCCCTCCCCCAATCTTTTTCTGTTAGAGGGCCCTACGACAGCAAGGGCCCTCGACGATGTGCATTGACTTGGCAGGTCGATGAACGACCAAGACTATACGCGGCCCTGCACCGACCCTATGACGTCGAATGACAATGACGGCGCTAATGAAGTCACTGCTGGGGTGGTGCTAGCTTAGGGAGTCGTGGGCGTGCTTCTTGGGTGGTCTTGGTAGTTGTGGGTGATTCTCTGTGAGTCTCGCCATTTCTGGTGTGCTGGGAGAATTGGCGAGCCCGGCATTGACTTCCCTGCTGAGTTGGGTTGGGAAGTTGACAAGGCGCGTTCGCTCACTCACACACCACTTTCGTGGGGTTGGGTTACTGCGCAGCGCCACGGCAACTTTGTGAAACCTCCCCGTAGCCTATATCTATCTTGTGTGTTTGCTTGTATGTTCTTCATAGTTGATCTTACAATTCTACTTGGTTTCTCACTTAGTCAGTTGAGACCAACGCTACCCAAGTGCTACCGAATTACTGACGCAACATCGTTCCCATAGCCGAAACTCTCTCGTCGTCGTATCGCTCTCCATAGTATTCCTTCATGGTGCGGTGAGCGTGGAACGAACACGCATAGATTTCCGTCGTCGATTATAGTGACGTTCGTATACTCGCCTTGGCGTGCGGCGTTAGTGAAGGGCGCTTATTAATTTAAGTTGAACCTTTCTTAATTTCCCTCCAGTTACGTTCTCGGACCCAAGGATAGGGCGTTTGGTAATTTATTACCACTCGTC